CCTCATGCCTTACACTGGGAAGCAGGATGATGGTAGGATACTGAAAATGTCGCAGTACCCTGTAGTTCAACACCTGAATCCTGTTGCAGATTTAGCCTTTGCCAATATGTGAGGTGGAAAGATCTTCAGGAGACAGGTTTAGGCAAAGTAATACCTAAAACAGTGCCCTCAAAAAAATTAAACTGATCTCATAATAGTTGCATCTATTGGAATCATGAGAAAGCTTATTGCAACAATACTGGACAAGAAGCTTGAAACAGAAAAAATTAGGAGGAAAATAATGATACTTAAATAAAATTACTTTAAAAATAATTTACATCTCAGAGAACAGTTTGCTCTGTCAAAAGATATGTATGTGTTTTATGAGTTACTAGTAAATAGCAATAAAAAAATACTTTTGATTTTTTGTAGGGTATCACAGAGAGACATTCTCCTGGCATATTTATTTTTGCATTTATTCAGGAAAAAAAAGAGAAAGTGAGATTGGGGAAATAACACACTCAGGGGAGACAGAATAAGTCAGAATAAATAAATATGCCCAAAACAATAACAGAAGCAAATGTGGCACCAAATATCACTGATAGACAAAGAATACATTAATTCAGCATTGCAAATTACTTTTGCTTAAGGCAGATGTACTTGGTATACCCTCTTAATTACTGCTCTTCTCATCAGTTTGCAACTCAAAGCACATTGATATGATTATACAAAACTCTATGAACAAGAGAAAGCTTCTGAATCAAAGCAATAGAGAGTGGTTTTTTTTTTAAAAGTTTGCATCGTAGCAGATGTCTTGTGCACTGTCCATCTAGAGAACCCATTCCACATCTTTCAGAGGCTCAGGAAGCAGCCTGGGGCAACAGAAACTTCAATTTTTATATATCATCTTTTTTCAGCTTGCTTTCTCTTTGGACCCTCAGCTTCTCCTCAAGCATGCAGAAGACAGGAGAAGGTGACTGGCGAAACAGAGGGTTTGGTTTCTTGGCTCCTGTTCATACACAGAGTGGTTTTGCTCGAGGACATTCTACTTGTATATATACATATGCAGCTATAACTCTAGAGATATCTCTCTCAGTACCTGACTAGTCCTAGAAGCTGCTGTAAGAAGGCAGGGAACATATGACACTTGTGGTGTGTTTATCTGCTATTGTGTGTCCAAAGGATTAGAGGTCTGCTAACATCTGTCAGTCATACCAGTAGCACTAAGTTTGAGAGTCTGTGATGTCTCCCATCATTACCCAGGGGCTGGGAGTCTTACTCACTGGTCTTTTATTCTGCACTGTGCTTCATGCGCTGATGAGCTAGAACGTTATTAAGTAGATTTCTGTCTAAATCCACCTTTTATTGAAAAGTCCAGGTTGTTTCAGCAGATCAAACCTAGAGATATGCAGGTTATAAAAGTGCATGAATATGGATCAATATATGTGGACTGGCTAAAGTTCAAGGTTTTATGACAGCAATCACCATAGTGAACTTCCCTTCAACTTAAGAGTTCATAAGAGGACAAGAGTTTGCTACCTTCATATTCTTTTCACCAGTGAGTTTGGGACACTGTCAACAAATGAGAAATAGTGAATTGCCCTCTCTATTCACTGCTGCATTTAGTTAGTTCAGCTGGAGACTAGATTAAATTCTCACTAAAACTGTTAGTATTGTTAAGATCATAAAGATAACTACAGTATTAAAAAAGATAAACTAGAGATATAGTGCCTTTAAAATATTGGGAAGTCACTTTGATACTTTCTCATCAGCTGTGTTCTGAGTAATGACCAGACCCCTTTTCTTCTTAAGGATGAAACAAGAAACAGGGTACTTAGTTTTGGAGAGGTCCTGATTTATCTTTTTTCCTCATGCTTAAAGTGGGAGAGTAGGTCTACAGTCAGCCATAACAGCCATTTAACATAGCTTGATATATTATGGAGCAAGTAAAGTTTCAAATTTACATAAGTGGTAGTAATTTGATTTTTACAATTAGTGAAAAACAAGATAAGTATTTTTCAAATCAATCAAAGAGGGAAAGAGATAGAGATTGGGAGACTTTGCCAGAAAGGAGCCTATTTACAGTTGGCTTCTCAAAGCTTGATTTCCACTAGAAATTTTGTCAACATGCAAAACATCTAGAAGTGTGTAAGCATGAATTATTTCATTCTTCTTTCCTAAGTGGAGAAATCTGTCCTAAAATTTTACAAATTTCCATTTTTTGTCTTTATTTGTTAGGAATACAAGGCAATCTGTCATTGTTTTCTTTTGCATTAGTATTGATCATCATTATTTTAGGAATATATCAGCTTAAGAGAAACTTTATGAGAGATTTAAGTAAGTCTGAGGGTGGCATAGTTGCACAGTTTCTGAAAAATTGGCCAAATGCAATTCAGGTAGATCCTTGACTTATCTACAATTCAGGCATTCGAAAAAAAATGAAGAAAAGCTGTTCTTGCATCTTACCATTCCTGTGCTTCTTAGAATATTGTCTTAAAAAATAAAGATGAGGAAATAAATTTCTGTATTATAATAACGTAAGAGTTTTTCAATCAAACTATTCAGATGTGACAAGGATAGAGGTCAACTGATACCATGCTACTGTTGCTTCTCATGGAAGGCAGTTAAATCATAAAAAATATTTAATTTCATGTCAATGTCAGAGAACATGTTCTACAGCCATTGCCTTAATAAACTGGGTTCTTCTTCATTCCACATGGACATTAAAGCATCTGAAGCAGACATGGTAGTAGGAACATGGAAGACTGTGGTTGTGACCGATAATATCTGAGTTGACACATGAGTATGGAGGGGATATTTTCAGTAATATCCATGTTCAGCCTATTTTTCAGAGTATGTCAGACTTCTCTGGCTAATTGTGTGCATTTGGCTTGCATCAGGAATCTAGTTTTTCTGGAAGTTCATCAGTTACCTTTCAGGTAAGCGTTAGCCCAACTGAAGAGGCATAACTCTGATTCATTCAGAATGAGGGAGAGGCCATATGAATGGATCAAGATAAATAACGATAAAACAAACAGAGGGAAAAAGAATGGCAAAATTGAGATTAGGGTAAGAGGTCATAAGTACAGCCTGATCATATTACAGTAAAATGACTGATTTCAGAACACCACACCAGAAAGTTTAGGTGATCACAGGAGGAACTTGGCTGATTTATAAATTAACTGAAGAGAAAAATCAGGTAACTATTCATTTGAAGTGTGCTTTCAGTATTTTCAAGTGTTCTATTACAATTTCTTACTTGAAAAGGAATATGATGTTATCTGCTGTAATGGAAGCAAGTATTGACAATGTGAGAATTTGGCCAGGGTAGAAAAGTTGTTGCCTCACTGCAGCAAATTTCCAGTGAAGGTAATTATTGACTAAGGATTTGACTTCATGATAAAATGTAAACAGGAGTGAGAAGGGAACAGAGGACTGCAAAGAAAGTTGAGGCTACATTCGAGTTAGGATACAGCCCCTTTATTTTCAGTCCTTTTATGGGGAAGGGGGCCCATGGGTCTCAGGAGTGATGCTAAGGCCATGTTAGCAGGGGGGAGAGCTGATGGCAGTTTGCCACCACGTGGTATGGATTACAAAGGAAGTATGACCTGCACTGGACGAGTCATTGCCAGATGGTTCCCAGATGTGTTATTTATGAAGTCACGGCCTACTTAAACCACATTCCTGGTGTCTTGTCTTCTTTTCCTGAGATGTCCAAGACATTAATGAAAGAATGTATGAGAACTAAATAGCAGACCAGTTGTCAAAAAACAAATGGCAACAGAAATCCTTTCCTGTCTCTGGATATATGTAAATACATATTAGACTAACAAAACCAGCTTTAAACAGCTGATCCCTGAAGAGTCATAGAACTGGTAGTAGAGCATGTTAAGGACAGTACTTATCTTGGCCTCATCATTCCCTTGTGAATCTCTGCCATAAAACTTACCACATTGTCCTTGATGATTCTGTTCTTGTATCTTTTGCCTTCCAAAGAGTCTTCTCTTCCCTAACCTCCTCAATGCAGAGAAAAAAAATCTTATACATAAAATCTAGGTTATTCCTTAAAATATGTACACCAAGCTAATCTGGATGAATGCTGTACTGTTTCAGATGATCTGATGATGTCAAATATAATTTGTGGGTTGATTGGTTGGTTGCTTTGTTTGCTTAGATTAGTCAGGTTTGGTAACATGCTGATGTGACTGAGTGATCATGCAAGTTTTTTACCAGAAGGTAATTTATTTAGTTTGTGTAATGCATCTGAGACAATGCAGTAACGGTGCATTAGAGCAGAATTTTCTATTGCTTTAGTTAGTGTGTTTTTGTCTTTTGTTAGAAATGAACGGAATACGATTTGTTTTTTTTTTTTCTTGTTGGTATAGTTATGAGAAACAATTCCTGAGTCAAAACTAAGAAGGTAGAAAAGAACACTGCAAACAAGCTAGTGCTTTGTAACATCCTGTAGCAATATGACTTGACATACCGAATAACATCAGTTGGCATAAGTTTTATTGATTACAACCTATCATGTGATGGCCCCTCAGGTTTTAATAAATAAGCTGGAATTCTATTTGTACAAGAAATAATGGAACTATGTTTAAAACAATTCAGAAATATTTATTCTGAATGCAGAAAACTCATGACAGATTATTTTGTGTACAACATTTTTATGCAGCTATTCAAAACAGACAGCAACCTGTTTGCTTTCTATTCCTAGAAAGTATGGGATATATATTAACATTGATTTTCATTACAGTGATCTGTGTTTCATTCTCAATTTATTCCCTTCATGAGCAGCTTGCCTAGGTGGAGGCCAGTGTAAATGAAATCTGAATATGTCCATAATATGAAATAGTGTTGCAAATATATTCAGGGTCAATGTGATTTTTCTATTTATGTAGTATACTACTTTAATGTAGATACCAAGAAAAATGAAACTGCTATAATCCACTTCAGACAAATACAAAACAGCAAAAAAGGATGTGCGTAGCACATTTTGTATGGGTATAAGAACTCACAGATAAGGAGACTGGTCATCTTCATTCAGACAAAACATTTTGAATCATTCATCTGACTGTTAGAAGGAGAGAAAAAAGAGTATGGTTATTATTAAGGAAAATCCCTGGAACATGTTAGAAATTTGTTGGAAAGATTAATCTTAGCAAGTTAATATTATATGAAGTAGGGATGGGAATTTTGATGTACAGATATCTGTGTTTAGGATGAAGACAAGGAATATTATGACTATGTTAGAGGACATAGAGCTCACACATCAAAAGCTAATAGTCTGACAAAGAAGTCAGGGAGTAATTTATTGAAAAAAAACCAAACTAACCACTTGGCTTTTACCATTGTTCAAAATACAATCTTCTTGCACAGATAAGTAAACCAGGTTCAAATCATTTAAGAACAATAAAGACTGTCAGGAAATAGCACGTCAGCTGTATCAATATTCCCACAAGTGGAAGCTAATTGAACAATACATTAATGGAGTTCAATTATTCCAGATATTTTTAGACATTCAATTCTTACAAAATTTACATTTCAAAATAGTGGACCAAATTAGTTTATACCTGCATGATCTTATCTTTCCTGAATCCAGTTAAAACTTGATTCCAGACAAACAGCACAAATTAATCTCTGTACAGTAACTGCGACAGATTTGATAAGTCTTGGATTCATCCCAATATATTTTTATGAGGAAAGTACACAATTTCATAATTTGTTTTCATATTAAATCTATGTTCCACTCGAACTGGTTCAGAGACAAAGTTATAAATTAGCTTCCATCTGAGTGGTGTACAAAATTCATTAATACAAGGAAACACAGTTCTAACCCAAACTTTTAGTTCTTAAGGCCCCAATACCTGATGGTGAAATGTTTCTGCTGTTTTCTACACCTTATGTAGAGATATCAACAAGGATAGTGGAGTTTGGAGTATTATGTGTGAATACACAGAGCCGACAGCAATTAATGAACTGGCTGCTAACTTAGTCTTTCCATTACATCTTTCTCCGCCACTGCAGTATGACATTTGAGACCGAAATTCTTCCTCACATAAGATTTTCCATTGCTCCTTAAACAGTTTAGGTTCACTTTGATTTCTGAGTATACCAGCCAGCACGGTTGAATTGTTTGGAGCTCAGAACAATAATTCCTGTTGTTGGGAGCACCAGAGATCTAGTAAAAGACGGAGAGAAAGAGAGAGAAATGCTTGGAGACAATGAAAGAAGATAGAACATTTTAAATAACATGAAATGATTTGAATGATGGGGCAAGTTTGCTGATGACACAAAACAGTGAGGAGTGGTTTGTATCTCAGAGGGTTTGTGCAGACATCTGGAAGGACCTCAACAGACTAGAGAAATGGGCTAACAGGAATCTCATGAAGTTTCAGAAGGGGAAACACAAAGGCCTGGGGAGCAAAATTGCCATGACCTGGTATCTGCTGGGCAGCAACCGTGTGGAAAGCAGCTTTGCAGAAGAGGACCTGAGGTTCCTGTATGAGCTGTAATATGCTATGGTGGCAAAGAAGGCTAGTGGTATCCTGGGCTGCATTAGGAAGAGTGTTTTCAGCAGATCAAGGGATGTGATCTTTCCCTTCTCCTCAACACTGGTAAGGCCACACCTGGAGAATTGTGCCCAGTTCTCTGTTCCCTAGTATAGGCAAGACACGGACATATCAGTGAAAGTCCAATGAAAGGCCAGAAAGATGATAAGAGACTGAAGTATCTCTCCTATGAGGAAAGGCTGAGAGAGCTGGGACTGTTCAGCCTGGTAGAAACCTCAGGATGGTCTTATGAATGCCTATAAATACCTGAAGGGAAGGTACAAAAGGGATAGCCATGGTCTTTTCAGCGGCCCACTGACAGAGGCAAGGGAACAGACTGAAATGCAGAAAGCTCTGTCCGAACATCAGAAAACATTTTTTTCACTGTGAGTGTGACTGACCATGGGCACAGGTTGTCCTGGGAGTTGTGGAATCTCCCTCCTTGGAGATATTCAAAAGTGGTCTGGATGTGGTCCTGGGAAACCAGCTTTAGGAGGCCCTGCTTGAGCAGGGCGGTTGGACCAGATGACTTGCAGAAGTCCCTTCCATCCTCAGCCACTTTGTGATTCTTTGACTTTGAATAAAAGGAATTCACTTTAGTGAAAGTACATTACTTAGGCTACACATGATGTTATGTGGGATCAAAGAGAATTAAACTAGACCAAAATTTGACAATTTTTTTCAAGGTTCTTCAAAACCTGCCTTTATAAATAAAAATTCTTACTTCATATGGAAAACAAAATACTTCACTATTATATATTTTAAGAAAGTTTTTTTTCTCTCCATAAGATCCAAAAACATGGCCAGGAAAAACCTAGTATCAACCTCCCACTCCTTTCACTAACTTTTGAAACTTTCCTTTGTTTTCATTAGCATTTTTTCAAACCTAGCAAAAATTCTAAAATTACAAACCAGCAAATGTTTACCATGGCAAAAGATTTTTAAAAAATATCAAATTTAAATAGAATTCTAATTTTATATGCTATTATCAGCCTTGCTATTATATAATTGTCAATATATAATATCAACAAGATAATTTGCAGAGCATTCATCATGCCATTTAGCTTAAGTCTTATTTCTTATTTCCTTTGGAGGTTTTTAAAACAGAGATGATCACCCAAAGAACAAGTTAGATCCTTTATCACAACAAATAGTAATAGATGAAATGTATAGATATTAGGAAAACATTATTTTAAAGTTATACATACAAGAGTGTTTGTTGCTTTACATGGTGGTTTTCAAGGGCTTTATATAGTTTCTCTTAATAATGCATGTTGTTAAATACTGTGTGGTTTGACTGAGGAATGGAAAGAAAGGTTGAAATTTGAGACCATATTAAAATACTTCAGAAACTTTAAAGCATTATAACAGTTATTTCAATAAAACTACTTCAAATATTTCTTCAAGAAGGAAACAATTTGGAGTCCAAGTTCAGCAGCATAATAACTGAAAATGTATAGCAGTACTCTTATTCCCATCACTAAACTATAGATTAGGGTCTTTTTCAGTTGTTGCCATTATAAATCCCTGTTCCCAGGGGTGCTAAACTATCATAAAAATTTGCTTTGGGCAATGCTTTGAGATAAGTTCTTCAAACAATGCATAGGGGATTGGCTTGCAACTCCCACTTGTGTTAATAGAAGCTATCAAGGCAAATCTCTCATGGATTCATGGGGGAAGAAGCTCCAGAGTATAAAAAAGTTTTGGCCTGAGGATTATTTGGTTTTGATATATATCCTGATAAAAACATGCTGTAAAATAAAACACTTCAAGCTAGTGATCTCAGTTATTTCCTGAGACTGTTAACACTCAGTAGATTTTGTTAAACTGAAATTCTGCTGATGAAATCTGCAACATAAATTGTTTCTTAAAAAATTGTATAAGAAAGAATGACAGTTTGGTTGAAGAAATAAAACTTTTCAAGGTAATAATATACCATTTAATCCAATTAATTGCACAGAAAAAAATAATCTATAATACACTTTATTAATTCAAAATGCTGGTAGAGTTTCACTTGGATATAAGTTCTTTAGAAGGTGGGGATATAAGTTGGTGTGATTGATCTGAGTGTATACGGCCCTTAACTTCTACATGCAGCTTCACATTTTTCACTTTGGTGTAGGTTACAGTGGGAGACCAGCTCATCTTCCTTCTTCTTCTGAGAGAAATTCCATTCTTCCCTCTTCTTCTGGGAGAAATTCCATTCCCTCGGTTCATACAGCTCACATTTCATAGAGTCCATCCATGAATCAGGTTATGGGTTTACTATACATGAGTGTGCTGATAAACCAACTTGACACGGTTCATCTTCTAAAAAAAAGCTGTCTGTTTCTATGTCTCTGGTGCCTGAATTCCCCAAGTAGCTAGACAGTAAAATAGACCAGAAACTTCCATCGAGAACCATAATTTTCAGTGTTCCAAAGTTCTCCTAGTCATTTACGTTAAACATACATGTGTGTCTGAATACTGCAAAATAAAAAAACACTACACAGAAATATCAACTTTATCAAGTTTAGTCAGTTTGGAGCAGTAGCTTCACTAACTTAATAAACAATTTCCTACAGAAGTTACTCTGTAAATCAGTAAATCTGATGTCCAGATATATTTTATCTACTACATTTTCTTTGCCTAGGAAAACCTGTTAATTTAGCCAAGAAAGGTATAATTACCCCACATGACTGGCTTTTGCTGAACCTATCTAGCATTTTTTTTTCACTTCTGATTTATATAACGAAGTGTATATTGATCCAGATTTGTTCTAAAATCTCCACGAGGTAAGATTGCTATGCCTGTAATTAGCTAGATCACATATCTCCCTTCTTTAAATATACACGTTTGTTTTCCTGCAACAAATGCAATATGGCTCGCAGTCTGATGGACTCCTTAAAAATACTTGCTACCAGATTAATTTTCTGTGAGGAAATACTGAGTTGAAAAATAAAAACAAAATTCTGACATTTTTTGCGGTCATGTGGAAAATATATTTCAATAACCAGTGGAAAGTTGTCAAACTGCATTTTGCTGACCTGTTTGGTTTGCAATGGGTAACATTTAACAAAATCATCATCGTGGCTAGGCTTCGCGAATGAAGATTTGGGATTTAACAAAATAAAGAAATAAATAATGAATATAACCTATCTACTTTGAATGCAGTCTATCAAATTCAAATGAGACAAAGGATTAAAGCTACAACTTAAAAGCTTAAAACTAGAAGAGCTTATTTTTAACCTTAGGACAGCCCAGCATTTAAATAAGACAAATTGGAACTGGGAATGAAAATGAACTCTTAATTTTATTAATCTCCTTATACTGTTGTGCATTGTTCTGAGTCACCAAAATATGCATAGCTTCTGAACAGCCTGACACTTTGCTTTGCATTTCATGTTATATTTTAAGAAATACATATCATGTATCACTTGCTAATGGTTTCTGTGGGAGGAGATGAGTAATTAAGGACTTGTGAAATTGGGGCAGGGTACGTTTTTATAACTGATAACATAAACTCACAGGATGGCTGCAGTTCAACAAAGGGCTTAGCTTGCTCCGTTCTATAAATAAGCACAGGAAATTAGATTAAAATTTTAAAATTAGATTGCCAAGATTTTCAAAAGTGACCATAGAATCTGTGTGTCTTGCTTTGGGACCCGTGCTATGAAGTACTTTTCAGAATCCTCATGTTTGACACCTTTTGAAAATATTTCAGTTTTAGAAATTTTTTTATTCTCCAACAACAACAAAAAAAACCAAACCAAAACAAAACAAACAAAAAATTTAAAAAAGTGGAAAAGGATTTAGTTAGACTTGAAAAAAAACCCTGGTAGACATGTTATATATAGCACATTATGGGATATAAATTTTCTTTAAAAGGGTGGATTTTAGTCACTCAAGTCCTTCTGTATTTTTTTTTAGTGTAAAGTATTTATTTGTAATATTAGTTGGCAAAAACTAAATCTTACAATTCCTTCATCTTCACTATTGTTTTGCAGTTTCATTTAGAAATCTGATGAATGCTTAAGTTTCATTGGTTTTCTTTCCTAAACATAGGTAGATCACGAGACAATGCCACTTATATTCTTAGAGAATTTATCCGGGTTTTGTAAATAAAGTAGTCATGTTGCTTGGGGCTTAGATGCTTGAGTTTCAGGCAGAGGAGGAAGGAACAGAGACATTTTTCCTCCTCCAGCATTGAAAAAGATGTCTGATATCTGACAGCATCAGGCAATCCACTCAATACAGCTGAGTCACTAGCTTGTAACTATATCTTACGACTGTTCTGAGATTCAAGGGTACTTTCCAAAGCCCCTTGAAAGCCCAAACTGTATTTTGATTTGGTATTGTTATAGAACCTGAACACTTCACTCTATATGGCCACTGTTTGGTTTCCAACAGAAAGAGAAGTGGGAGGGTA